ACAGTTTTTAATAAAACTGGTAGAAGTTCTTAGTATGGTATAACAGAAGCTGAAGGTATACAAATTATACAGCCTCCTTTCCTCAATAAAAAAAATCAGTTCAGCCATCAAGAGGCCAATGCCAAAATTGCCAGAGCTAGAATTCACATAGAAAGAACCTATCAAAGAATAAAAGTGTTTGTCTCTCTGTATTGGTACTTATGTCCGTTTTTCTTCTATTTATATGGAGTTTTTATTATATGATACTTCTCTGTATCTAACTAGCTTTTAAAATGTACTTGTAAAGCCCAGATAGCTCTAACTCAGGCCTTTGAATATAATAATATTTATGTAATTGTATTTACAATAAATACTTTATTATTATTAATATTATTATTAATATTATTATTATAATTCGTAAAATTATTATAAACGTATTTACCTTGTACCTACTTGTATTGATACTTGCGTGAAAAATGAAATGTTACTTTTTATATTTCTGTAGCTGGTCTTACAAACCTTTATAGAGCAATTCACCATTTAAATTTAAAAACAAAACAAATTTTCATACTCAAATAATTAAAAAACTTAAAACAAAACATAAGTATAATTAAAACTAAATAAAATGAACAATTCAACAAAATGTCCGACTGAGTAATGACAATGAGAACAAAATCTCAACTAGACTAAACTTTCTTTAAAACAGGTCCTGTGAAAGGTTTGTTTACCAGTGAGCACTCAAAATTGAGACAAAACACAAACATTGCATGCACTAGACAAAGAGAAAACATCACCCAGTTCGACCCACATTTCATCGTTTTATTTACGTATGGATAAGCAGTCTATTTAAACTATATATGTCATTGGTTTAAAATGACAGCCATATGATAGGTTATAATATGGCAACACTGTGGTCCTGGTGGTTTGAAAGGGTCAATGGTATAGACAGTTATATACATATTGATCATTCATGTTTTTAAAAATAAACAGAAGAGCTTTGGGTAAAAATGTAGGCAATTATTTTTTTTTAAATTCAAAGGCTGGAAATTGCTAAACCGATTCAAATTAATGAACACTTGCCAGCCAATATGGCTGCTCGCAAACAACCTGCTTTAAGCAATCTATAAAACTTTATATGTATCATTGACCCTATCAATGACAACAGGCCCACAGGGTTGCCATATCTAAACTGTCAGTCACCACTGGAAGCATTTTGAGAGGTCGTTGGAATGCCTAATTCGCCTTTTATAAACAAAATTAGTGTGACGCTGTATAACAACAGTCGCAGTGACAATAACATCTGACGTATACACTTTTACGTCATGTGCCAAACTCGAGCTAGTAGAGCTAGTCAGTTTTGGTGAGAATAAGAGCCTTTTTTTTAAATAGCTTCATTTAAATGATATAAAAACAATTTCATTTCTCCAATCTTCAAATATAAAAATATTGACTTCAAATAAATCAAAATACAAAGCTAAGTGGCCATTTTTTTAGACCCCTTTGCAAGTACTTGCGAATGTTCCTCATTCTCACTTTGGCAACTATACAATTATATAAAAATGACACGCTGAATGACAGCATGATACTAATATTTTGTATCTTGGAATGACAGTTTTCATTATCTGACTTCATTTAGCTCTTCAAAATTTCTTGGGAAATATTAAATTTGTTAAAAATAATCTGGTTCATTTAAAGCACAGCTGATTTTTTCTGGACACCGATACACTGATGCCCGGAAAACTGATACAAATAAACTTCTACCAATGTCCATGTTACAGCTTTTTGGTGCAAAAAAAACCTAAAGCTATTAAAACCTACAAAATTAGAAACCTCTACTGTTACCAAATAATGAAATATAGTAATTTATATTTAATCTGAGGTCTATTTATTAAAAATTGATATATTTCTTTTAAAATTCTAAATGTTCGCACAAACCGATTTTCATTTAAAATATAAAATAAATTATTATTCTGGAACGAATTAGGTTCCTCCACTGTTAGGTTAGGTTAGGTTGAAAATGAGTGGGACGATCTCATCGCCTTCCACTGCGACCCTGATGGGTCTATTGTGGCTCATGACTAACTTATAGTTCACCGTACAAGCCACACCTTTTGATAAAGGTCATGGTTCTTTAAAGTCGGTAGGCTCCAGTCGGGAAAATCCGAAGATCTGAAACCTGATTCTTTCCAGAGCGGAGTAGATACATGTGCTCTGCAGACTCGTCCTCCACGCTGCAGAATCGACAGTCCGATGTTTGTTGCAGACCTATCCTTCTCATGTGGTTGCCCAGACGGCAGTGTCCTGTCATCAGTCCAGTGAAAATGCGTAGATCTCTCCTACTCCATTCTCGGATCTGAGCAGAGGCGTTCATGGAAGGGTTGGTTATAAATGCCTTCGAATGGGTTAGCCCTGGGGTATTTCTCCAGTTCGTGAGTGTTGCATCCTCCGTCCATTTTGAGATAATTCTTTTGGCAATGCTTTTTGCAATGCCCAGGAATGGTTCTGTTCCTATGAACACAGATTCGATTCCTCTTTAAGCAAGTGCGTCGGCTTTTTCGTTGCCCTCCACACCACTGTGTCCCGGAACCCAGTTCAAAGTAACTTTGTTCCGGGCACCGAGACACTTTAGGGTATTTATACAGTTCCAAACCAGCTTTGAGTCAACTCGATTGGAGCTCAGGGCCTTAAGGGCTGCCTGTCTATCTGAAAAGATCTTAATAGTCTTGTTTGCGGGGAGAAAATTGATCAACTCTCTCGCTCCCAATTCTATAGCATTCATTTCTGCTTAGAAGATCGTGGCCAGAGAGCCTAGGTTTATTGATATGTCAACTCTATGCCTCTGGCCGAAAACTCCCGCTCCTACTATTTTTTCAGTTTTGCAGCCGTCCGTGTACAATGCATAGTCTGCCTGGAAGAGGGTTTTTTCCCCTTTGCTCCATGCGTCTCTCTCTGGAATGAGGACGCTGTATGGCTTTTCTATGTGCTGTCGGGGAACTAGCGAGTCCGAGACCATGCCGAGGATGGGGTGATTAATAATTTCACTCATCAGCCCCGTCTTGTCCCACCGCAGTTCTTCGTAACATTGACTACCCACTTTCAGGAGCCTGTAGGAGACCATTCTGGCCTCCCTTTCCAGCAGAATGTGGAGAGGGGTTAGGTCCAGCATGGTCTCCATGGCTCCCGTAGTTGTAGTTGACATTGCTCCAGTTATGGCGAGGCACGTAAGCCGCTGTATTCCAGCCAGCTTTGCTCTGGCCGTCCGTTGGAGTCCCTTGTCCCACCAGACGACAGAGCCGTACGTAACCATGGGTTTTACCACTGTTTGGTAGATCCAATAGATCAGTTGAGGACTGATCCCCCATGCTTTGCCGCATATCCTTCTGAGAGTCCAGAGGGATAATCTGGCTTTGTTATTGGTTTTATCCAATTGGGGATTCCAGGTGAGTTTTTTTATCTAGGGTGATTCCCAGATATTTCACCTCCTCCGCAAAAGGAATGGTTTTCCCAGTCAAGGTGGGTTGTCGAAGCTTGTCGAGCTTCCTTCTCTTGGTGAAGGGGACAATAACAGTTTTGCGGGGGTTTACAGACATCTGCTCCCTCTCGCACCATCTGTTGATCGTATTAAGGGCATGTTAAAGGATGTTGGAAACCACCTCTTCGAACTTTTCCCTAATTATGATAACCAGATCGTCCGCATAGCATTGAAAATCCACCCCCTGTCGGGAGAGATGGTCTAGCAGATTATCCACCAGAATAGTCCACAGTAGGTGTGAAAGGACACCGCCTTGTGGACATCCTCTGGCAGGCCTGAAAGTGACAGTTTCTCCTTGCAGTGATGAAGTGATGTTCCGGTTTGCCAGCAAGTTAGTTTGTCGATTCCTCTTCTTTCAATAGAAGAGAACAAAGACTGAGGAAGGGCGTTGTTGAACGCGCCTTTTATATCTAGGAAGGCACCTAGCGCAATCTCCCCGTGATTTAGGGAATGGCCGATTTTGCCTACTAGATTGTGCAGGGCATGATCTGTCGATTTGCCTGCTTGGTAGGCATATTGAGAGGAGTTTAACGGGTTTGCCCGAAGACTTCCTTCCCTAATATGCCTATCTAGAATCCTCTTTAGTGTTTTTAGAAGAAAGGATGTTAGGCAGATTGGACGATAAGAGTTTGGTAGGGAGGTATCTATTCTACCAGCCTTGTGTATATACACGACTTTCACCAACGTCCATCCTAGTGGGATATAGCTTCACGGCAGGCTTGCTCTAAACAACCTCACAAGGAGGGGTAGCAGGAGTTTCTGTCCTTTTTGTAAAAGGGGTACATGTTGCCTGTCCTCCAGGATTCGACTGCCTGGAAAGTGTTTCTGTAAAAGAATCTCTAAAGTTTCCTTACCAGAGTCCGTATAGGTGTTTTCGGGTCTTTTATCGAGCCGATTTCCTGTCTCGGATCTTTGGCAAGAATCTTGTGAAGTCTGGTACTTGCAGGTAAATCTGATATACTCTGGAAGAACTTCCTCCACGATTCTCGTTTGGCCTTTCTAATAGGCTTGTTGTACTCCGTTAGAGATTTGCGGTAGTTTTCCCATCGGCCAAATTCTTTAGCTCGATTGAAGAGATGTCGAATTTCTTTTCCTTTTTGGTTGAGGTTTCTGCTCCACCATGGAGTACCCCTCAGGTCCACTGTTATAACCATGGTATAATCGCATCTTCAAGGTTTTTAGTAAGTCTTATACGAGTATCTATTAAAAAAAATATCCCTTAAATTAAACTAAACACATATGACGCAAGTCACATTTTAAACGCACACGCAAGTAGTTTGCGATTGATAATACCCACTCACAGTTTTATGCGAGTACTCGAGTGTGTTGCGTATAATCAAGAATACACAATTTGCTATTTCGTTCGTAATGTCAGACTTTACGAGTGACCTTGAAATTGGCAAGTGGTCAAGAATAGGGCTACTGGAACTTTTTAATTCTTTGTCTTTATTCATTCAACTTTAAAATTCTAAAAACGAATCAATTTCAGATTTCAATAAACAACCAAAAATATGCACATCGCAAGAATGTTTAAGAACTGCTAGCAATTATCGATCTTCCATGAATGATAGTGTGGATCCTTGCGATAATTTTTACGAATTCGTTTGCGGTAGATGGTCCGAAGAACACCCCAATCATTTCTGGGAGAGTTCTTTTTACAGTGCGTCTATAATTAGGGAAAAAATCGTCATAGATTCTGTAAATATTCTGAGTGAAGAAATGGATATCGACAATGAACCAGAAGCGGTGAAAAAGAGTAAACATTTTTATAAATCCTGCTTAGATATTGGTAAGTTTAATAAATAATAAGTACAAACAATTATATTAGTAAGATTATAATATACTGGTTCTTCTCTATTTATAATAGTAAAAGTGTGCTCGTCTATTTGTAATAGAAAAAGTATGGTCTGTACATTTCGTCTTAACTTAAAAATCTTTTCATTATTTTCCTCTTATCCTTCATACATTAAGCTGGTGCCAGATCTCCTCTTGCTTTGTTCTTATTCTTTTGCCCGTATTTTTCATAATTTCTACAATTATTCTATTCTATCAGATCATTCTCCATATCTTCCAGTTTTTAAGACCTTTCTGACTAATCTACTTTCGCTCTTTCTAACTTTACACATTTTTACCAGTTTTAATTGTTTTTATTCTATTTTGGTGACCAAATTTTCTTCTGTTTGACTATTTGTCTTATTGTATTATTTCGAGGGATAAACCGTTGCTGTACTATGATGTACAAGCAATCTATACTATGTGTACTATTTGTATATTTTGTATACTAATTCTGTACTTCCTATACTATTTATGTATTATGTTTTGTGTACTATATGAACTATTTGTGTACTATATGTGTACAATTGTTTACTATTTTGTAGTATCTGGTACTAATTGTGTAGTGTTTCGTAGTATTCCCACTTGGCAGACGTTGGTGACCTGTAGAAAACTGAGCAACGACCTTTCTTTTTGAGTCATCTGTTCTGTACTCATGGAATAAAACACTATACCTTGCTACACTGGTTTTATTACTTATAATTATTATCACTTTATTTAGAAAGGTTACATATGTTTCATCTTGCATTGATTATGGCTCGTTACAGAATGCCGCTTCCTGTTAGTGTCTATTGCGCATACCCACGGTCGAACCTTTGTAAGTTGTGCTTACTATTACAGTGTCGTGAACTTTACTTTATGATCGAATACACCCACACTTAAAATTTATACGTACAACAATATTAATACTGACAATAATGATCATTGACGACTATACACTCAATATAATGTTACCTTATTTTTTTATTTCTACGATATCAATTGTACTTAAGAGGTGATTTAGCTCAAACTGCTGATACTGCGTGGATTCATAAATTGACCAGGACAAATAAAATCAGAGTAGCTTGACCGGTTCGCGGGCCAAAGTCTACTTTACGATAAAATGAAAGACATTATAATACGATAACGACAAAAATGTTGAGAGCGCCAGCAAGTTTTTGAGTAACTTGGAAAACTTATCTGATTTGATATGTCCTGTTTAATTGAGTCAGTCTCTGGTACTTAAAGTTATCTGTATGAGTTCTGGCAAATAAGAGAAAGTGAGAAAATTTAATACATTTATTAAAAAAAGTAAAAAGAATGAAATTTTACATAATAAATTGATAGTTAATGATTAAATCTGAATAAAAATTAATTAAAATTGACTGATAGATAAAAATGTTTACATGAATGAATAAAATTTACTTATGGATAATTATTAATTGTCCCAACCATGTGGCATTCTAGTACTTCCCTTTTGTATGTCGTGTCGTGGACAATCCGCCTTTAGGTACTTAGATATTTGGGGCTTGGAGCTCGGAACTTGGAGAAACTACGTAACTCGTAACATCTCTTAACATCTAGGAGCAACTACGTAATTCGGACTTCTTGTTTCTTAGTGCTTCTAGGAGCAACCACGTAACTCGGACTTCTTGTTTCTTAGAGCTTCTAGGAGCAACTACGTAACTCGAGACTTCTTGAAGCTTAGATCTTAGAGCTTCCTGGAGCTACTTGGAGCTTATTGGAGCTTCTTGGAGCCACTTCGAGCTTCTTGGAGCTTCTTGTTTCTTAGAGCTTCTTGGAGGCACTACAGGTTTAGAAATAAAAAGAACCTCAGGAACACTAAAAGTACATATACATGCCAGTTTGGAAATCTAACGGACTTATGCATAAACGGGACAAATATTAAAGTTACATCATCTGAACAGAATATAAAATATTTATAAGGCCAAAATAAGTTATAACAATAAGTTTTACATCATTTGAACAAAATATAAGCTATTTATAAGGCCAAAATAAGTTAAAACAATAATTTTTACATCATCTGAACAAAATATAAGCTATTTATGAGGCCAAAATAAGTTAAGAGTCATAAATTTCCGTTTAAACTGTATTTCCAGACTGACTTTGTAATTCACTTATTTAGTTGCCTCCCCGCGTATATATCAGTGTATCAAAGAAAGCTTAAAAATATTATTAGTTAGGGTAGCTATAATCTATATAAAATAAAATAATTCTAACCGGCATTCGTCGGCATGGTGGTAATAAAAAAGCAAATGGCCGATCTTTTCGGTTTTCCAACGAAATCCAGCAAAATGTTAAAGAAGAAGAAACATTACCTGACAATTATCCCAACGTTAACACACAATAAACACATAAAAAAAAGATTATTATGGAAAACTAGTAGCAGCTAATTAATCGACACAAGCACGTTGAACTCGATATACCAAAAGACCGGTTGAATCCAAACGAATCGGCTTTACCTCGGCGTGGTTGTTCAAAGAAACCCTATGGACCGTGCGCAAACCGTACTTTCCAAATTTTGAGAAGGAAGTGAGCGGTGGTCGTTTAAGTTGTGTTACGAGGGGTTATGGAGAAGTTGTTAAAAATAAATTTGAAATTAATTTAAAATTAATTTCACGTAACAATAACATATACTAATATTAACAATAATGATCATTTTTAAATTTTACAACTTAAATAATCATGTGATTATTTTACATACAGTATAACTTTTGTTGTTTAGATACATAAACACATGGTTTAGTCCATTTTCAATAAATATGCCTAATAATGTGTGGTGTATCATTTGATAAACTAACCTTATACTATATAAGACTTACAATTTTAATTTATTTATCCTGACTACAGCACTACTATTTAAAAACCCTTTATTATGTACAAAATACACTTTAACATTATTAATTATACAACAAATATATATGGTGTGGAACAGAAATGTTTTATACAGGGTGTGTCATGTAATAGTGGCCAATACCAACTTTCTTATTTTAAATGCAACACCCTGTATATTTTTCAATTTTTGATTCTTCAGAAAATTCTAGACATATTTTATGAACTTTCCTATAACTAACTGTTTCAAAAATATTAAAACCTAGCTGACTTAAGAAGACAAATAACAAATAACTCCTGAGGTGTTGAGTAACGTTAGAAGACATTTTTATTTCAGATTAGGATGTTGCCAAAATGGTAGGCTAGTTCGGGTTTTTCAAAAATACGTTGAGAACTATCAGAGGACTAGTTGACCAGTGAACAATTTAAAAGTTGTACGCGACGAATAATTTGCTATTCTGCTGTTCAACTGGATCTCGGACGGTCTGCATCAAATTTTAAAGAAGCTCGAACAAACCGTGTGTTTAATATTTGCCAGTTTATTTATATTTTATAAATTGTCCACGATTTTGTGTTGTTGTTTTGCCGTTGCCACTCCTCCTTGTATTCGCCCTTCAATTAAGTTCCATTATTTTTAAATATTTAGTATCAGGTATAGGTTCATCAAATGGTGGACGTGGAAAATAAAAAACATATGACCAAAAATATTTTTTATGTCTATAGTATAAACCGATTCATAAAACCGACCATCTTAAATTAAACATTTTCACAACTCGTGTATCGGGGACAACACTAATGAGTTGTAGTGCGCATGTCGTATACGTTTTATTTGTACATTGGTCTCCTTTTGACAGAGTAGGTGAGCTGTGTCCAGGCCGTTGGTGTTTATGCCGGTCGGCGTAGTCAGGTATAGATTGAAATTTTCTGGTGGCGGAGAAGCCGCCACCCTACGAAAAGTCGTTGCATCGTCTTCTTGTTGTCACGGCCTTATTATTATTTGTTCATGTATGTAAAATTTGTTTCTAATACTACTGCTAATCACGGCGTAAATGAAAACAAACAAGACGCATTCACACAAACACCTCCCACCACAGCAATTACAAATAATTAGTGTTGTCCCCGATACGCGAGTTTTTTACATATGTTATTTCAGAAACTCGAGACAAAATGGGTATAGCAGTTATATATCCGTATTTGGAAAAAATGAATTTACCAATCGTGCCGAGTTTTATGACTACAGGAAACAAATCGGATGTTAAATTCAATTGGATGTTGACAGACACTTTGGCCAAACAAATTCTTCAGATGGACATCTTTATTGGATATGTTATAGGCCCGAATATGTTTAATTCATCCCAAAATGTTTTAAGTGTTGGGAATACCCTTCGGAAAAGCCCTTTACCAAGGTAAAAAATTTATATAATTAAAATATATATATACAGGGCGTCCCGAATTTAGACGGTCATGTTTCAACAGCGTAATCTACATCCTAAAATAGCAATAAAAGTTTATATAAACATAGGTCCCAAAACGTTTTGTTTCTGAGATACAGGGTGTTAAAAGTGAAGTCCTGATGACACATTTTTGTAAATATTTTGTAAACTTTTAAAGATAACTAAGTGAAATTTGATACAAATGCTAAACTTTTTACGCTCTATTTAATAAATTAAACGCCAGTTTTTGATCATCTTAATAGGTGGGTAAATTAGGGGAGGGGCTTAGGGTTAAATTGTCCTAAGTCTTTTTGTTGACTGTTTTTAACATTTTTAACTACAACATTTGGAAAACCAATATTTTCTTTATAATAAGGCTACTTTTGTTGTATCTCGCTAGAATGCACCATTTTCAAGAGAAAAGCATTTGAAAAGTGTAAATAATTAGTAGGTCTGTGGAATCAGAAATTTTATTTTTTTTAACTTTGGAAAACTGGTGACTAAAGAAATTTTAGAAAATATTTATAAAAATGTGACATCAGGACTTTACTTGTAACACCCTGTATCTCGAAAACGAAACGTTTTTGGACCTATGTTTATATGAACTTTTACTTCTATTTTAGGATGTAGATTATGCTGTGAAAATATGACCGTCTAATATTGGCACATCCTGTATACATTAATAAATTAAATTTAAATTAAAATATTAACTGGGGCCTTTTAAGTTTTTGTAAACATCAATAATTTTTTAGGACATTTAAAGGCTTTATGTTTTATTCAAATTCTATTAATTTATGTCTATAGTTTCAGCTGAAATTATACAAACTGATATTTTTTTTTAGTAACTGACTTTCCGACAATTAAATCTACCTGTCTTTTATTTTCAGACATAAAATAACATGGGAAAATGTTAAAGAATTTGGTAATAAAGATAATGACACTGCAAAAGAATTAGCAAGGAATCTAAATATCAACTTAATTACGTATGTGATGAATGAATTAATTTTGAACAAAACGGGACAAAAAGCAGTTGGTGATTTACTGAAAGAAGCTGCCGATGTTATAATAGAGATGTCTGATTTAATAGATGAGGTAAGTTTTAAATTGGGCTCAATATATTATTAATATAAATCGGGTTTAAAGTTCCAAAAACTTATCGGTTATAGATCTGAAAATAAAGGTACCTACCTATATAATTTTTTTGGAAGTTTCCAAATAAATTACAAAATTACCCCTACGAAATAATAAAAAATATGTGAAAACAAATTTAATGAAAAATTGAAAAAATCTTGTCCGCGGGGAATTTGAACCCACCTATTCATATTTTACGCACATTGTCTTAACCGTTAAGCCATTGAAAATACGAAATAATCACGAGGGATGACAGTTATTATAGGCGTTTCAACTACGATCAAATCATCAAATCCCATATAAAATCAAACAAAAATATGTCCATAAAATAAGCAGTTCTACAAACTCCACCAAAGGTCGTTAGTTTATGGTGTTACCCTTTTGACCATTAAACAGATAGACGGATCATAGGATACTTTGAGGTTCAACATCAACATGTATACAACTGCTAATAGGTCCGTTTGAACAATTCGAAAGTTTTTAGTTCCCTGGTGTTCCGCTTCGCCAAAAAAAACCTGTAAGGGGCTTAAAGGACTCCAGAACCCTTATAATAGTGGCCTCCTCAGATTTTTACCTATTAAAAATTAACGCCGCCTACTGAGGTAAGGTTCCCTTACATCCAGGGTTGAGCTAGGTTGATGGGAAAAGTGTATAGTTTTGACTTAATTAAAAACCGTTCGTAATTATCATAGTCAGTATGGGCCTACTTTGTAAACATTTTTTGTGGATCTTCCTTTATTTTTAAGAACTTCTTTGTACTATAAAAAGAATGTAAAATAGTAATTTCTTTACTTTGTTTTAATGAAATATGCCTACACACCAGTACACATACACCTAACGAACAATGAATAAGGTACCTATACGTTTTTTGGCACCCTATTTACAATGAAGGAAAAAAGAATTGCTTTTAACCTTAGATAAAAGAGATCAGAGGTATAACATACACCGGTGTTTGACCTGCGCAAATGTTGCCAATTTCTAAAGAAAGGTTAACGGAGTGGGGGAACTGGGCGGTGACTCGAACTCTGTGACAGGGACCGGACTTTGTTTATTAGCATCATAATGAACTATTAGATTTATTTAAAAGATATTTAATGGAATTTTTTATTATGAAATAAAATAAACATGATTTTTTAATATCAAACAGATGCCACGACATTTTATGTTTATTTACTAAGGACTTTTCTACAAGAGATTACAGTAAAATGTTGAAATAGAATATTGTTAATAGAGCAAGAAATTGTACTCATTGTCTACGAGTATTATAAAAAAAGCATGTGCGCAGGCGAATACTGAAAATATTACCTTGTGAGTTGAACATTATATTTTTTCTACGGTTATTACATAATATTAAAATATAAAAATGAGAAAATGCTGTTTTGTATTGTAACCTCAGAAAAAGGTATATTAAGGCTTCTTTCTTTAGAATATTAATTATTGTAGAGGATGAGTTACATAAAACTCTAGAAATGCATATGTCTGAAACCAGATAACATTTTAAAATTTAAATCTATTAAAAGTCATTTGGTCGCTAGGGGTGGGTGATTATCGAAATAAATTATCGATCATTGAAAATAATCGATTATTTTCGATCAATCGATTATTTTCAAACAATAAATTTTTTTGTCGTATTTCCTTTAAAATCGACTACTTGATTATCTTTAAAAAATCAAAAATAATCGAATAATTAAAAAGCCAATTAACCGATAAATTGGTGTTTACAAAAAATAATAAAAGAATTATTGTTTATTTTAAATAATCGATTATTTTCAATTAATCCATTTTTTTTCATCCATTGAAACAGATTATTCGATAATCTTTGAAAAATCGAAAATAATTGATTAATCAAAAATAATCGATTAATTCAAAAGTCGATTAACTGATAAATCGATTTTCAAAAAAAAAACAGAATTATCGATTATTTTCGATCAATCGATTATTATCAATAATCTATTTTTATTGTTTTTCCTTTAAAATCGATAATTCGATTATCTCTGAAATACCGAAAATAATCGATAATTTCAAAATAATCGCCTAATCGAAAATAACCAATTAATTAAGAAGTCGATTCTACGATAAATCGATTTTCCAAAAAATAACCGAATTATCGATTACTTTCTAGTAATCCTTTTTTTTTTCATATTTCCTTTAAAATTGATTATTTGATTATTGAAAATAATCGATAAGTTGAAAATAATCGATTATTAAAAATCTGATTAATCGATAAATCGATAATTTTAAAAAAATAACCAAAATATCGGTTATATAAAATTACCGATTATATTCGATCAATCGATTATTTTCATATATCTTTGAAAAATCGAAAATAATCGAATAATTAAAAAAACCGATTGAACGATAAATCAATTTTTCAAAAAAAAAAAATGATTTTTTCAATCAATCGATTATTTGGAATAAATCTACTTTCTTTCTGTATTTACTATAAAATCGATTAATACATTATCTTAAAAAAACGAAAATCATTTATTAAAAATAACGGGTAAATCGATTTCCATAAAAAAATATCAGAATAATCGGTAAATCGATTATTTTTGTAACCCCTATCGGTCGCTTGCATTTAGCTCTAAAATTTAGAGATTCGAATTTTTTGATCCCGTTATCTGTGAAACCGCATTCGATTGTATATTAAATAATATATATTTTTTTTAGTAAACGGCGTTTATAATGTAACATTTTATTAACAATGTGACTAACTCCCGTAACTTTAGTATTTTTTGTTTTATTTTTATTTTCCACTTTTTTGTCCATCGATTGATTCTGTTGCAGGTTGCCAGAAGTTTTTCTGGGGTCTCTGTATTAGTTCCGACAACTGCCAGTATTGCAGTGTCATCCGCAAATGTTGCTATTTTAACAGATGGAGGGATATAGCTGGTGTATAATAAGTAAAGAACCGGTCTTAGCACACTGCCTTGCGGGACACCTGCTTTAATTTCTTTCGTTTCGGAGTATGCCTCGTCTTGCTTTACTCTAAATATTCTTCCCGTTAGATATGATTGTAAAATGTCGACATATTGTCTAGGGAGCATTTTTTCAAGTTTCTGTATTAGGCCAGCGTGCCAAACCTTGTCAAATGCTTGGGCTACGTCAAGAAATATAGCTGAGCATATATATTTTTCTTCGTAAGCTTTTTCGATGATATCTGCTATCCTGTGTACTTGATCTATTGTCGAGTGTTTGTTTCTAAAACCAAATTGGTGTGAAGGGATCAGATTTTTATATTCAATTATTGGTTATAGTCGTTTTAGTAGTAGTTTTACAAATAACTTAGATATTATCGGTAACAATGATATAGGTCTATATGATGACACTTCATTCAGAGGTTTTCCTGGCTTAGGAATTAGGATAACTTCAGCCATTTTCCACGCATCTGGTATATATTTAAGGCGAAATGCTGCATTTATGAGGTATGTCAATTTAACAATAGCCTTCCGTGTTAGTTTCTTTAATATTTCTCCATTAATAAGGTCATATTCTGGGGCTTTTTGTGAGTTGATGTTGGTCTGAATTTCTTTCATAACTTCATTGGGAGTAACTAGCTTCATTTCAAGTTGTTCCATATTATGGATGGTCTCATTAGGAGTGTCTGGATTTTCATCTAATTGGAACGTCTTTTGTAGGTGGTCAGCGAAAATATCAGCTTTTTGTTGATTGTCTCTTGCCCATTTGTTATCTGCTATTCTGATTGGAGGACAGTGTTTACACGAATTTTTCATCTTTTTATTTGCCTTCCAGAGTGAATAATCAGTTTCTTTATCATTTGTTAGCCTTACTAGGTGTCTGTTGAAGGATTCTTCTTTGTGATTTAGGACTTCTCTTCTTAGTCTTTGGGTAGCCCTATTTAATATATTTTTATCTTGTGGTTATCTTGTCATCTGCCATTTCTTTCTTAGTTTTCTTTTTTCTGCTACCAGTTCTCTTATCTCGACAGGATAGTTTTTTACAGGTGTTAATCTTCGTACCTTTGGTGTGTTCCTCCATGCATCTTGCTGAATTTCAACTATAAACCTTTCCAGTTCTTCATCTAGCTGATTTTTCGTTTTTAGTGTTATGGTCAGTTGAATAGTATTTGTTAAGTCCTCTTGAAACTCTTCCCAATTAGTTTTCTGATTTGCTAGGGTCGGTTTGGCTTCTTTTTAAATAACATTATCACTTAGAGTAAGGATTACTGCAGAATGGTCTAAATCCATATCAAAGTTGTCTTCTACTTGTGTATAGTTTGGTAAAATTCTTCTCAGAATAAAGAAATCCAACCGTTCTCGAATCTTATTTGGGTCGGTGTGCAATAGGTGGGTTTTTCAGAAGATGGTATATACAACCAAGTTCTGATGCAGCTCGGTGCAATTCTTTTCCTTTGACTGTGGTTAATCTTGAACCCCAGTTAGTGTTTTTGGAGTTGTAATCTCCACCGATTATAAATTTATTACCTAGTTTTTTGAGTACATTGAGATAATTTTCTTTTTTCTGGTTGTATCTTGGCGGGCAATAGATTGCAGCTATTGTAATTTTGCTCGCCTTAATGTTAATGGTGCTAATGGTTACCTGATTTTCTGGTTCTTGAATTCCTGGTTCCTTATAGTGGGAAATGTTATTTTTAATAATTACCGCAATTCCTCCTCTTGCTGCATTTGATGGATGGATAGTGTGATAGAAGTTATAGCCTCTGAATTTAATGTATGGCTCTGTTGTAAGGTGGGTCTCAAAAATCAGACATATATCTATTTTTTGTACGTCCAAGAAAACTTGGATATCAGTTTGTTTTTGTAGAATACCATTGGCATTCCAAGTGGCTATTCCAATATCTTTTTTGTCCATTGGTGGTTTTGTTATATGTTTGGGGTTTGTTTAATTCTTCTAGCTTCTGGGGCCTGTCAGAGAGTGAATCTATTCTGGTTATTTAGTATAATAATAATGCATGAGTAGTACTTTCCGCTAAGCTGGTT